ACTCCAGGACCTGAAATAGGTGTGTCAGATAAGGGACACATACAAAATGTGCAGTGTTGGGGGGCGCCCAGGACCAGGGTTGAGAAACACTGGCATAGACTAAGATCTTGATAAGAAGATGCCATATTAGTAATTATTATAAACGAGAATAGTTAACGATATTGCCAATATTCCACACAGCTGACAGCTTTACCTGTTGTAGTTTGTTCAAGTTGTGCACGAAATAGACTCTGCTTTTGTGCACTTTTACTTCGCACGTCTCCGTCATTGCGATCTCTCTCGCGCTGCACAACTGAGCTGCGTTTAGCAGGTGTGCGTCAGAGATGAGGACTGTTTGAAACCCTTTTTTCCACTAAAACTTTGATGCGCATCGTCTCAGTTTAATACGTGAACATAACAAAAGATGTGATGGCAAAACAATCAGGGAAAAAAGGCACTGCTTGCAAATTTTTAAGTTATAACATGTAAATATATATAGTCGCCAGTGTCGCGACCTCAGCAAAAACTTCACTCGCAAATTAATATTTTTGGTCGCACGACCGTTTTAGTCGCAGTCTAAAAGTCGCAGGGAAGTCGTGGCCTAATGGTTAGAGAGTCGGACTCGTAACCCAAAGGCTGCGGGTTCGAGTCTCGTACCGGCAGGGATTGTAGGTGGGGGGGAGTGAATGTACAGCGCTCTCTTCCACCTTCAATACCACGACTGAGGTGCCCTTGAGCAAGGCACCGAACCCCCAACTGCTCCCCGGGCGCCGCAGCAAAAAATGGCTGCCCACTGCTCCGGGTGTGTGTTCACGGTGTGTGTGTTCACTGCTGTGTGTGTGCACTTTGGATGGGTTAAATGCAGAGCACTAATTCCAAGTACGGGTCACCATACTTGGCCACATGTCACGTCACGTCACGTCTGGAGCCCTGTTCATGGCCACTTGTGATCAGATCAGCCAGGACAGATCTTAATACCAGGAATAAACTGGTCAAACACTAAGGACTACACACAATGCATTTCATTTCTGTAAAAAAAAATAAAAATAAAAAAAATAAAAAAAATTGCTACATGTACTGTTATATGTCGTTATAGCACTTGTATATCATTGCTCTTTTGTTGATTTTGATTGCTTCCATTGTCCTCATTTGTAAGTCGCTTTGGATAAAAGCGTCTGCTAAATGACTAAATGTATAAAACAACACTCTAGCTACTACATTCAGTGTGCATCTATTTTAGCTTTTGTCCTGAAAACTCCCATGGAAACATTACATCTGGGAAAACTTACCTCACCATATTCTCCCAGAACTTCCTCTTCATTCACTTCTTCTAAAAACACATTTTAAATGTTAAACAGGTATTATAACGGTTTCAGAATTTGAGATTTATCCTGCCAGGATGCCCAAAATTATTTTTATTCACATTAAAGGAATAGTTCAGCCTAAAATGAAAATTCAGTCATCATTTACTCATCCTTATGTTGTTCCAAACCTGTATGAGTTTCTTCTGTTGAATACAAAAGAAGAATGCGAGTAATCAAACAGTTGCTGGTACTTTTCAATACTTCCATAGTATGAAAAGAATACTATGGAAGTCATTGCGGAGCAAGAACTGTTTCATCCTCACCAGCTTTCTTCAAAATATTGTATTTGGAGTTCTGCAGAAGATAGAAATTCATACTGGTTTGAAACAACATGAGAGCGAGTAAATGACGTCAGAACTTTCATTTGTGGGTGAACTACCTCTTTAAGAGAAGAAGGGAGTAGTATGTCAATAAATAGGTGCAGTATTACACCTATCTTTGAGAGATCTAAAGAACACAATTGTAATGAGAACTGGTTAAGGAAAAAAAAGTAACCATAAAGTAAAATATATAAAAAGGCTGAAATATATTGTATTAGCAAATGCTTACCATGCTCGTCCAGGTAGGCCTGCAGCCGGGCAATCAGATCGGCTTTATTTCCTTTGGCTTCCAGCCCACGAGCAGTACATTCCTGCTTCAGTTCAGCCAACTGTGGAGATTATATTAGTTTTAATGACTGGGGCTACATACATTTATCACAACCACAAATCACATGCATGCTGTGTGAAACCTATGTTTTGTCAGTCCACAACGTTGGCATCTGAACAAACATGGCTTCTAAATAATTGAGTTCTAACAAATTAAATGTACCATGTCATTCATATGAAAAAAGAAAAGTGGAGAAAAATTCTTGCATCTTAATCTAGGTCGATGCGTGGTTTAAAACAGTGTTTCCCAACCTTTTTTTAGTCGCGGCACCCTTTGGAAATTTTAACAAATTTGTGGCACCCTACAAAATTAATTTTGTCACAATATTTGAATTTCTAACTTCAATATGATACTTTGAAAAGTGTAGATATTCGGTACAGCAGGGAAGAACTGCAGAATATACTGTCATACAGATATTTTTAATATTATAAAAAAAAAATTGTCCATCAATGGTGGCAAATCAGTCAAGAGTTGCCCATTTACCACACCTTGTTACAACACAGTCGGCTATTGCAGACAGAAACAATACTGCACTACATAGATGTTTCCTGTCAGCTCGATTTTTGAGTGGACTTTGCTGTTCCGATGAGCATGAACGGTATACGAGTGGAGCACTCACATGGGCCGTGAGCGACTGAGCGGAGCACACACACGCATAGAGCGGGATAACACGCAGAGCGTCACACCACGTGAAAGTGAAACCTGAGCGGTGAACTAATTTTCGGCAGCCGGAATTTCAGTGCATCTCTAATTATTGGCGACATCAGAAATGGATATTATATAATAGCTGCTTTTTTGAACATTTTAGCCATTTAAAAATATTAAAAAAGGATTTTTTTACGCGGCACCCCTGCTCTCGACAGACGGCACCCCGGTTGGGAAACACTGGTTTAAAACGCTCTAGATTTTCATACCTTTACGCCCAAAAATGCGGTTTATGAAGGCAGCTAGCTAGGTGTTGATGGACAATGACGGCCAAAAAGCAAGCAACTATATTGTTTTAGATTGACGTCTATTGTTACAACCCACTTTTTAGGCACTTGTAGGGGAAGAACACGTGCTGGTTGGGCTTTATTTTTTAGAGTTAACTGGTGTAGTTGATAAACCACTGGAAGAGTAGAACGTAGTGCCTGAGTGGTGAGGGAAAAAAAGTAAAAGTCGCGTTTTAGTAGTCTCTTAAAGACTGAGCTAAAATGCTTTTTAAATAAGCAGGTAACTTAGATGTTTTTCAGCGAGGAACGAAAGGTACACAGCTCACTATTGAGGCTAGAGTCAAAACGCTGTCTGTCAATAGGAAGCTGACTAGAGTTTTTGAGAAACAAGTGCTGAATGAACCTTGAAACGTTAACTTAAATATATTACGGTTTAATCATCATAAGCCAACTTAGCACAGCTCGCTGTTACAACCAGATCCAAAAACCAAATAGAAACATACTAACAAACATTCATAGAAACGTTCTTTGCGCATCGTTTCTTACCTTGAGTTTATGCAGTTCCACGACTTCCGCCATTTTCTTGAAGAGGTTTGTATTTTGAAATCTGCTTCATTCCGGTTTTAACGTCTTTACGGCCGATTTAGCGCGGCAGCGCCACCGGTCGGTCAGGAGACATTTAACACGGACAGTTTTTTTTGAAATCCTATCTTAAATCACAACCAATGGCAGCTGTAATCAGTACAATTGGGTGGCTTTTTAAATATCACAATAATACAAAGCTATACTACCTCCACAAAATCTCTGAATTCACTTAAATGATTGTTTGGGTTGGACTAAAAAGTCCAAGTTTGTTCTGTCTAATATTTACATTTGTAAGTTTATTTTACGGAATTTCATAACCGATTAACTTTGCAACATTGACCCTGTTTTGAAACTGAATGAATCAACGCTGAACTAAATTGAGCTGAATGACAATTTTCTTCTGTAGAGCTGCTTTTACAGCTGAAATTATATTCGTTTAATAATTTAGGAATTTAGCAACATCAACACTATTATTTTACAGTTAATTATTGTGAAGCTGCTTTGAAACTATATTTTATAAAGCGCTGTATAAATAAATGTGTCTCGTCAGCGTCCTGTCGTAGCAGTTTATCGCCAAACCAGCGCTATTTAGTGATGGACGCTTTCGAAGCACTGCTTCGTGAAGCTTCGAAACCTTTGTGAATCGTTTGTTAAGAAAACAGTGGTTCGGAGCGCGCTGTCAAACTGCCAAAGTCACGTGATTTCAGTAAACGAGGCTTCATTACGCCATATTGCCGTCGGGGGGCGATGGTCTCTGTGAACCCGTGAATCATGCGAGGTCACTGAGATCGAACTATTGAACCTGTCTATGGTTTTTACCTGATCTCGCATCAGTTTGTAGACATTTTTAACGAGACTTGTGTGTGATTAAAAGGATGAGTAGTAGTTAATAGCCTCTTACTGGCCTGTTTAGACAAGCTCTCCATAAAACAAACAAAACAAGCCCTGCAAATGAATAATAATTGTTAAAAAAACACAAATTATACAGACACTTCATGTTTAATTGTATTTTATTGTTTCAGTTGCATTTAATGCATTTACTTTCAAGAAAACATTTGCAATGGGTTTGTAAAAGCTGTCTTTGTCCTGAGTTTTTGTTGCATTTACACAATTTGACCAGCAGGCGTCAGCAGCGTGTGGTGTTTCGAGCGCTTCGAAACAGTGAATCATTTTGCAGTTGGTTCAATTGATTCGAAGCTTCGAAAAGGTTCGTTTCTCCCATCACTAGTGCTATTATTATCGCTTCGTCTGGGTGCTCTTGTGTTCGTTTGAGCTCTAGCACCCATCGTAAACCACAAGAGGGCGGACGTTAATTTTTTCGCTCAGTTCATTGGTTTAGACATAACGGAAACGAGGTTTTGTGTGTGGTCGGTTTACACGTCAAGTGGGAGGGCTTTATTGTTTCACTCAGTTCATTGGTTTAGAAGGCTGAACTTCTCTTTGGATCCGCCTTTTCTTTCGGCCAGAGGGCGGGGCTTGTTTTTTGTGCGTCGTACGAGGGCGTGCTGAATGAAACGCGGGAACTGGCGGTACTGATCAGTTGTGACGTGATTTTCTGTCGTCAGTATTTTTAAGATCAAATAACTGATTTTAATTCGTTTGATTGCCGTTTGGATACTAAAAGTACTCTCTCTATACAGCCGCTGTTTTAAGAAGATTTAGAGTGGCAGTTTTCCCCCCAAAAAGGGGCAGTTTGACATGGAGTCTTTTCAGAAAGTCGAGAAGATTGGAGAGGGAACATACGGGGTTGTTTATAAAGCCAAGAATAAAATCACCGGAGAGACAGTTGCACTAAAGAAAATTCGGTTAGACACGTAAGTCTTTGTCATTACTTTCTTCTTTTTGTGTGTGTGTATTAGATTTTTGTGTCATTAGTGTCTTAGGTTTAACGTAAATAACTTGCATACAGACACACTCTAAATTGTAACTTAGTGTCTCTAATGTACATTTTATATTTACGATTAATAAAACTAATTTACGTGTTTTAGTACATTTAAAACGTACTTCGCCTCTTTTAGAAAGACGTTCTGTCAAAGCTGTTGCACTGCTGATTGTAAATAACCTAGATTTACAAACAGATAATGGCAAAAGTTTCACTTGGTTAACTTGGTTAAGTTAATGCACAGGGTGTCATGAACTTTAAGTGAAAACTGTCCGAGCCTTCAGAGACGTCAGTCTTTTTGAGGGGTATTTCATAAGCTGAGATGAGGTTCATTAGTCATATAAACAGATGTTTGTCTTAGATGCATGTCTTTGATTGACATGATTATTTGTCTGTTTACAGGGAGACTGAAGGTGTTCCCAGCACTGCCATACGTGAGATCTCTCTGCTAAAAGAGCTCAATCACCCAAACATAGTCAAGTATGTACAGTGTCTAATCTTCTGTTCTGAATGAATGAATTTAGCCTCAAGTGCATAACTTGCATTCACATCGTAATGTATTGTCAAACTCAAAGTCAATGTACAACTGCCCTAATGCTCCTGGAGTCTTACAAGGGCTGTTTTCTCACCTACAGGTTGCGTGATGTGATACACACAGAAAATAAACTTTACTTGGTGTTTGAATTTCTTCACCAAGACCTGAAGAGGTTTATGGACTCGTCCTCTGTTGCTGGCATATCCCTGCCTCTCGTGAAGGTGAGTTTAATTGTGTTCAACAATTAATGCCGACTGCAGACCTGAATTTGGAAAAAGTAATTGAAAATACCTTCTATTTTTGTAACACTTTGTTATAAGATTATTGATTAAATAAATTTAATCGACAATGTGAAGCTATTGTAAATATTGTTTGAGAGAATAAGAGTCTTGTGGAAAGCCAGAATTTTAATAAACTTTTTTACCCCTGACAGTAAATTTTTTTTAAAGATGGCAAAGTAGAGTTACACAAAATTGATGAATTTAAATGAACACTATATCCTCAAAAAAGTTTTTTGATTGCTTGAAAGATTTCTTGGTTTCATTCCAATTCACAAGATTGTTATTCTCTTTTGTTTCAATATCAGTTCATTTGTAAATATTTCAGGAACGTGTCTTTTTATTCTTAAGAAAAAATGCTGTTAACCCAGGACTCCATACTAACATTTGAGAGCAGTGGCACCAGCGCCACTAGTCTATAGATGGTGGCGCCAGAAGCAGATTTGGTAGAGCTGGGGGGGTGGTGTGTGGGGTATTAAAAAGAAAGATAATTTAATCATAAAATTATTATTGTTTTATATTAATAAGTGCAGTTCCTTATAATATTACATGTTTATTTCTTGCTAATGCACATTTACATTTAGTCATTTAGCAGACGCTTTTATCCAAAGCGACTTACAAATGAGGACAATGGAAGCAATCAAAATCAACAAAAGAGCAATGATATACAAGTGCTATAACAAATCTCAGTTAGCTTAACGCAGTACACGTAGCAATGTGTTTTTTTAAATAATATAATAAATAAAAAGAAAACCTAGCATAGAAAAAGAATAGAGCAAGCTAGTGTTAGATGTCTTTTTGCTTTTGTTAATTGTATAATAAATGAAAAGAAAACCGATATAATACACAAAGATTAGAAAGCAAGTGTTAGTTTTTTTATTTAATTTTTTTTAAAGAAAACAAGCAGCCAATGAATAGAGTGCCAGTCTAAAAGGGACAAGTGTTTTTTTTTTTAAAGAATAGAATTAGGAGTGCTAGAGTTAGAGGGTCAAATAAAGATGGAAGAGATGTGGTTTTAGCCGATTCTTGAAGATGGCTAAGGACACGCTCGGATTGAGTTGGGCAGGTCATTCCACCAGGAGGGAACAGTTAATGTAAAAGTCACAACACCCTCTGGCTGCTTGAGACGGAGCAGCTCACGCTCTGCAGCCACGGCTTGTTCACACACAGTCTCAGCTAATGGCAGGGCAAAACAGACTGTTTCGAAAGCATAATTACGTTTTACCCTACTAGAATTGATGCCGGAAAGTTATCATATTCATAAGTGCAACAAGTCATTTGCATGTGAAAGTAGAAACATGCAATTCAGACGAAACTTCTGGGCTGATTATAACGTGCACGTTAACTTTCCTCATGAAATGTGTCTGTGGGTCCGACAATAGCCTCCACAATGTCATATATTCGCTCGTGGCCAGCGCACTCTTAAGCAGTTATGAGCAGCAGGCAGTGCAATATGTGTGAAATCTTTTATTTTTGTTATCACTATGGCCATTTGACTTATAACAGGGTCCAGCGTTTCCCATACATTGAGTTATTTGTGGCGGCTCGTCACAATATCAAAACTGACCGCCACAAATCACGAATAGATTTTTCAAAAGGCTTATACTTTGTTGAATAAAATGAGCGCTTCACGTTTCAAAATTAAAATGCAGCGCGGGTGTTTTTATATGAATGTATCTTTGAAAAGAACCGACATTGAGTAAATAGATTTTCCAAAAGGCTTATACTTTGTTGAATAAACTGAGCACTGCACGTTTCAAAATTAAAATGCAGCATGGGTGTTTTTATATATCTTTGAAAAGAACCGACCATCTTCAGAAAAGCTTCGATGTCATTTTCATTTCGTCTTTCCTGTAATGTGTGATAAAGTAGCGTTTGTGAGCAGCGTTTATTTGATTACAACCGTTACCGGGGAAACCACTATATCTCCAGCTCCCAAAGCGCCTCCTGGTGGCAGAGAATTAATTTGCAGTCTGTGGGAAACACTGGTGTCTGTCAGCAAACATAAACAAAGAGCATGCTTCAGAACTGTTTTGAGAAGGTGCTTAAGTTTTGAGCCATGTATTATTACTCTGCATCTAGTTGACATGGTCTCTGCTGACATTCAGGGCTGTATAGGTCGTCTCTAGGTGCTGATCCACCATCTGATCTGGATACAGAC